GCTTGGCTGAGCGCTATCTGCCCTATGTCGCCGAAGCATGTGTCGCTTCATTTTGATGGTGTCCGGATTGACAGAGAACTCGTCAACAACACTCCGGATCTTGTTGCGATGTGTCAGAGGGCTATTCTCGAGAAAACTGGCTTCGATGTTTCAATTGCCAAGAAGGAGACGAAGACGATCATGCAGCTGATCGAGAGTGTAGCAGAAACCAAGGTGGCCTTGCGAGCTGTGCCAGCACATCTGTTAGAAGATGGTAATTGCATTCCTTGTGCGCTGTGGCATCTCAATTCTAAACTTCGGGAAAACATCACCAAGATATTTGGTGACCCCAGCGCTCCAGACAACCAGCAGGCGCTAAAGAGCCGTTGTCGTTCGTACAGGTCTTGCATGGCAGCGCTGAAGCAGGACTTCACAGGCTGCGTTGGTCTTCCTGACGCTGAGATCGCAAGCTTCCTGTTGCACTTCGAGAACGATGGCAAGCCGCACTCGGTGACTGTCCAATACAATGCTTCCAAGGAGTATGTCTCTGTTCTGAACGGCTCTATGCACTACCGACTCCAGACCAGCCAGTTCATGTCGGCGTTTTTCAACGGTATTGATACTTCCACAGCTGTTTGTTTTTGGCAAACGCATCACCCAAGCAGTAAGCAAGGCTGCGAAAATGGCCTGTTGGATCTCGAAGCTGGCATGGAGGGGTCGGTGAGCGAGAGCGATGTTTCCGACGATGTTCAGAAAGAGCAGTGCACGCAACAGTCTTTTATCCTGGATGAGAACGAAGAGTTAGCGTTTCCAGACGTCATATTAAAGAGCTTGAAAGAGGAGGTCAGCCAATACACGGACAGACTATGTAGCAAGACAGACGTTCGCAGACAGAACGGCAGGTACAGCTGTGAGCTGTGTCCGTTTCGAAGCTTCAAGGAGCTCAGAGGGCTCAAGGTGCATGTGCAGAAGCACCACCACCAGAAGAACCAGTTCGTTTGCTCGGGCACAAAGCAAATCAAGGCGATAGCAGCTCTTCATGACCATCATGCTGGGCTTCAAGAACGCTGCAAGCAGTATCTGCAAACAACCGCGAGGCTCATGTCGTCCACTATTGTACCAGCGCTCCCAAGGACAAAGAATTACATAGACAAGGATATCAGGCTGCTTTACACCTCTTCTGGACCGATGTATGTGAGCCATCGAAGTCTGAAAGAGGGCACGTTCGCTAGAAGAGTTCGCAACGTGTACTATGACAAGTCATTTGCAGAAGCGTTTCTTCAGGAAATCCTGATGCAACTCATCCAGGCCAGTGTTGCTCACGGGGTGAACGTGTTAGGTCTGTGTTGGTGTGCTGAAAGATGTCATCATGTCGTTGCATCTTCCTTTTTTAGTTAGGTGCGAACAACTTGGCCTCGACTTCACCTGCGAGCACAAGACGCGGGCAACGTGTTGTCCTCACTGTATCCCACACACACCCGCTTCTGGTGGCCAATTCTGGAAGACGTCGCGTATTCCCCTGCCATACAGGACAGATTGCGCTGCATGTTAGAAGTGCTCGAGCAGTCTGAAGAATGGAGCTACATCAGCACGGATGCGACACTGAAGACATGCCTGAAGCTGAAGGGACAGGAGTCCTATCGCGCATCGAAAAGAGTTCGGAATGATGCACCCTTTCCTGACAGCGTTGCGTGGAGACGCCTTCTCACGGTGCGCGGTCGCACAGGAGCAGTGCTGCTACTCGAGCCAATTCGGACGGAAAAGTCTGAGGATTTGATAGAAGCGTTTGAAAACAATTTTTCGGACGTTGCTCTGGATCAAGTGCGGTATATGGCTACAGACCAACCTTCGCCCAAGCTGTACCAGTGGCTGAACACAAAGTGCCCGAACCTGGTTTGCTTATGCCTCGATCCAATTCATTTAGCTATTGTCTATGAGTATGCCCAGTGGAACAAGAAGACAGTTGGCTCGAAGATGCTGCGAGCCCTACTGTCAAAGGTTCTGGCTGTTGATGACCAGAAGACTAGCAGTGACTGGGGCCCTTTTTTCAATGGCTCGAATCCCACGCCACTGAACAAGGCAGAAGAAATTATGAGAGAGAAGATTCTGCAGTGTTCAATGTCCGAAAGGCAGGCAAAGAAAATCATGGCTGAGTTAGACACTTCCACACCCTTTCGCGATCGGCTGGCCTTCATCAGCGGACTCGCAGCCATATGCTCTCTGAGACAGGAGGAAGTTTCCCGAAAGGTCACAGGCGCGAACAAGGAGGTCTACATGGTCTTATGGGCAGCATGTGCGCCGGACCGGTTGGAATGGCTTTGGAACAATGTCAGATTGCGGCATACTCTGACAAAGGCGCAGCAGCTTTTTCTTCCGAGCGGTACCTCATCCAATGAAGCGTTGCACGCCGAGATTAATTCTTGGTTGCGCACATGCAACTCGCTTCACAGGTCGACTCTTCGTCTCAAGCTACGATTGATGCAGTACCGCAAACTGTTGACGCATCACATAGCCACATGCTATCCGTTTGCTAGAATGACGGCAGAAGGTGTCGTTTTATCTCGAGCGCTGGCTAAGCCAACGTGGTTGGTGGAGACCTGGAATGCTTGGTGCGAGGAGCAACGTCGCGATGGAGGCCAAAGCAAGGCTGATCTGCCCCTTATGCGCTCTCGTGATATTGAGATCGCTATGGTAAAGGGTTGGGTGCAAAAGAAACCCGCGTCAAAGCGGCGTCGAATTAAGCGAACTCCATGTTCTGCCAAGCGCCAGCACCAACTAAAGGTTGGTGGGGTAAAGGGGCATAAGTGACACCGCAAAGCGACTGTTGCTGTGCGCGACATGTCGCAATCGTGAGGTTGCGACGGGTGTGAAACGACGGATAGCAAAACGCGCGTGTTGTTGCCCTTGTTGGATGACCTGCTCCTTTGCACTAAGAGACGCGTGCCTGATAAGTTCATTGTGACAAGATCTTGCTGGCTGGCGCAGGACTGTGATCACTTCGATGACGTTTTCCCTTCACCTATGCCATGATTTGAGTTTGGCACGCTTGGTTGAGTGTGTTTTGACACGTGTGCTGTGTCAATTCTTCACGCACGCCAGTCTCACATCGACTGAACCTTGATCCAAACTAGCCTCATTTAATCTTCTACATGGTTTACCTTGCCCTGATGCCCGGCATCCTTTAAAGTTATCAGGTATATTGAAGGCTACGCCGAAGTCTGGAGTTACATAAAGTTGCGCGCAGGCAACGCATGATCCGTGACTGGAAGGAATTCTCCGAGATACGGTGTGTCTGTCATGTTGGGTGTACCAGATGCTCTCACCGGTCACGGGTTCGTGCTCGCGACTAGCGACTCGGCTCTTTGTCGGCTAGACATCGAAGGTGTTGTCGGCCTCGCTCGAAGTGCTACTACACTAATGAAGTTTGATCTATGGTACGCGCGTGAAGCCCATTGTGCTCGCCTTGGCAATCTGGCACGCTGCTCAAAGGCTCCTGCATGAACCGCCCATAGCCTACAAGCGAGCTGCAGCTCCATGTCTTATCAAGCAGACACGTGCACCTGGCGACACGTGAAATGCCTCACAAGACCACCCTGCTGGACGTTCGAAACTTTCAAGTGTCCACCCGAGTCGGAAATTCTAACCCTTTCAAGTGGACTGACCTCCGAGCTAAGCCGTAGATGCCCAGGCAGATTAGTATCATGGGGTACGGTTTCTCAGGTATCAACATCGTATGCATCAGCGGCACCGGCACGGTCCACAAGACCCTAGCGAATGACGCCGCCTTGTGTCCCCTCATGATTGTTCCGGAGGAAAGCGAACTTTGCTAAGCTGACAGCTAGTGTAGAGTGTAGACAGGAAACACCTGAATACGACTGCTGGTGGATGCGGACGCCAACAAACTTGCGCACATTGAGGACATGGGCAAAGCCGCCCTCGTGGACGCATCTTCCAAGGGCCATGTCGAGATTGTACGTTTTCTGCTGGATGCTGTTGCCGACAAGAACTTGTGGGACGACTACAACGCGAATGCTCTCATGGCCACATTTTCTCAGGGCCACGTGGAGATTGTGCGTTTGCTGGTGGACGCTGGTGCCGACAAGAACTTGCTGGACGAGTTCCGCGCGACCGCTCTCATGCGCGCATCTTCCGAGGGCCACGTCGAGATTGTACGTTTGCTGTTGGATGCTGGTGCTGGCAAGATCTTGGAGGACGAGTACCACGTGACCGCTCTCATCGCGCATGTTCCGAGGGCCATGTCGAGATTGTACATATGCTGCTGGACGCTGGTGCCGACCAGTCCTGACAGGAAAATGCAGGAAAGATCCGGCCTGACCGCTCTCGTGGACGCATCTTCCAAGAGCCATGTCGAGACTGTACGTGTTCTGCTGGGTTCTTTCACTAGGCCTCTCTCAGAAGTAGGAGCAGGCGAATCTCCTAATGTGAGTAGTTCAGTTGGCACTGTGTCGGCATCGTCGATACGCAACAAGGTGAGAGGCGAGTTAGTGGTGGTGGTGGTAGTAGTAGCATCACGAGCAATCATATGCAGTTGTTGTAGTCGAAGCAGGAGGAGGTGGTAATAGAAATCGTCATATTCATTTAATAACGCATTAATAGCAGGTATATCTATTGTCAAACATAGTCAACACAAGGACGGTGCGCGAAATAGACCCTAAAGGTCTCGGCCACATATATATATATATATACATATGTGCCAATGTATGTAGATGTGTATATATATATATATATTTATTTATTTATTTATTCTTGTAAAACTAGATTTAGGTGAAGATAGTGAACATAGTAGATATGTAATTCTAGGATAAATATCACCGAATTGTGGTGTGTAGCCTCTGGCAACAAAGAAAACTGGACACGCTCCCCTCCTGGAGGGTTTACCAGAAGACGGGCTGGGAAGCTGCAGGTATCCTAAACCCTAAACCCGAAACCCTAAACCCTAAACCCTAGACCCTAGATCCCTAAACCCTAAACCCTAAACCCTGCCATTCCGGGGTGCTGGCCCCAAATGACATCGGAGCCGAGCAGCACGTCAACGGCCTGACCAGGAAAAGCAGAATTCCAGCGGTGTGCCCCGTGCCACTGCAGGGTTCAGGGTTTAGGGTTTAGGGTTCAGGAGGGTTCTTACCTGAAGACTCTTGATGTAGCTCCTGTTGGGGGTCAATCCTGTCAATATGAAGATGTGCACCTGAAAGGTATTACATTGGAGCTTTTCGGTATAGCGTTGAGGGTGCTGCCGAGACTTCTTTGCTGTAGAAGCTCCTGTTCAGCATTACTTGCATTCTAGAGGATGAAGGGGTAGGCAAGTGACGCCAGGAAAAGATATCTACGCTATAGTGCCCCGTCTGCACTCAAAGTCCTCTAAGCCCTCAACTCCTCACCCAATCCCGGGTTAGGGTTGCAGGGTTGAGGCTTTATACCTAGAGTCCCCCGGCAACTTGAACAAGACCACACAAACCCAGCAGCTTTTGCACATTGCAAGATCTACCCCTAAACCCTATCCCTGTATGGGGATTGCCGAGAATAGGGGTGCCCCTCATATACCCCGAAATACCATAATCCTCTTTAAAGGAACCCCAAAAGCTAGACTCCGAAACCCCCACCCCTAAACCCTAAACCCTAAACCCATATAAGGCCTAAGCCCCAACCTTCAAGTCGAGGTTCACCCGGCCTTAGCGGGAGGAGGCGTCGTGCCATCCAGAAGCTCCTGCAAGCACCAGGGTTTAGGGTTTAGGGTGTAGGGTTGTGTTTTGGGTTTAGGGTGTAGGGTTGAGGGCTGAGGGTTTAGGGTGCTCGGGGCTGATGGGTTTAAGGGCTTAAGGGCATAAGGGCTCAGTGGCTTGAGCTGCAATGTGCTTGCAATGCTCTTGGTAGCCCAGTAGCCATATTATAATAAGGGCACCCTTTTTTGGGGGCTGGCTACTTTATAAGGGAACCGATAACCAACAAAAAGGTAAAGGGTACCACTGGGCTACCAAGAACCTTTTTACGTGCTTACCCGTCTGTAAAAAACTCGATATTCAAGAGCAAGACCCCACGCTGTAACAGATAAACCCCATGAACCCTATAAAACCCCTAAAAATTTCCCAGACAAAGCCTTACAAAAAACCCTAGAAAAACTCTGTAAAAACCCTGTAAAGACCCCTATACATTGGGATGTTCCCCCTTATACTAACAGTCCTGAGTAAGCATTATAGGGGGTACTATAATCCCTATAAGGACTGTTAGTATACTCGCGCGTGGAGCTGTAACCCAGAGGTCTTTTGTGAGGAAGCCGCAGTGCAAGTGCGTTTTGCGCTTTCGTACATAAACAGCGAGCGCATCGTTCAACGCTTTCCAAGCAACTTGCTCATGCTGTAAGCCACTGCTGAAGCAGCGAACTCTTTTCCCACGCCAGCGTGGTACACATGGACAAAGTCAGCATTGAAAAAGGCTGCCGGCGACTCATCAGGATCCAGTAGCACGTGTTGCAGAAGAGGGCCTCCATTGCCTGCTCATGGAAGTGGGTTGCTGGGAGCAATCCTAAGCAGGCCTCCCGCAAAAAAACACCACCACCCACCCCATCCCCTCAAGGCGTCTAAGCGTCACGGACTCCTTGGATTCTTAGACATCAACACGAACCCTAAGCCCTGAGCCCTAAACCCAAAAGAAAGGTTTGGGGTTTAGAGTTTAGGGCCTTTCCAGAACTATCATGATATGGGTAGTACGCTAAAATTTTGGGGGGTCCATTTTAGAAGGGTGCGAACCCTAAACCCTAAAACCCGAAACCCTAAAGCCCTATACCCTGAACCCTATAGCCCTAAACCCACTTGGCTCCTCCCAAATCAGCTTGGCCACTTCCAACGCCACCTCTCTAGTCTGCATGTTTGGGCTAAGAGTTGAAGGTCGAGTTTGTGGTTTAGGTTTAGGGTTTGGGGTTTTGGGGTTGAAGGGCTCAGCGATTTCTCGGCAGAAGCCCCCAGACCCCCAAACCGCCCCAAAACACCACCCAAATCCTTAAAGCCTGCACAAGGTGGAATTCTCTAACTCATGGGCCCTTTCAAGGCTCCATACTATCATCGGATCCTCAAAAAGGACTAATCCAGGGGTCGGAAGAAGTACTGGTAATATTCCTCTATGGCCCCTACACAATTATACTATACTACCCAAAACCCTATTCTAATCTTTTAAGGCCCTCTATCTTGCCTTCCAGAACCTCCCACATGTAAACTCCGGACCACGCAGTCAGTGGATAGGGGATCCGAAGCATGGGCCTCCCTTGTTGTATAATCCCCTATATACACTATATACATATTATACCATATATATATATACATATACATATATAGATTTAATATATATATATATATGGGAAAATACTTCGGATCCCAAGAAAGGAGAGTAAGGTACCAACACTAAGGGCCCATGGTTCCAAGCTTAGACTGGAAGGTTCAGAGGCTCGGTGGGTTGGCGCTGTCTCGTGCACCAGCATGATGAAAAGCCTGGTGGTGCCTGTGATTTAGGGCTTCGGGGTCTGCTCTCCCTCCCACTCTCTCCGGCTTGCAGGGTTTAGGGTTTAGGGTTCAGGGTTTAGGCTTTAAGGTTTAGGGTTTAGGGTCCTTGCTCTGGGTGTGTGGCTGGCGCGACTCGCTCCTCGTTAGCCCGTGCGTTGTGCTCCAGATTGGTGAGGACAGCCTGTGAAAGGATTTCGGAAAGCCACATCCCAAATACCAAAATTAGGTTTAGGGTTTAGGGTTCAGGGTTTAGGATTTTAAGACATGAGGATGCGTGAAAACCCCCTATCCCGGAAGATATCGCTCTTGTTTACTCTTATCCTTTTCTCGAGTTTCAGCATGGTTCTGAACGTTATCGTCCTTTTTTACTCCAAATTTCCAACTAAACTGTATCCCTAAAACCTGCTTGAGCCCTGCACCTTATGGCTGCGTGCGCAAGCCCATACCCTAACTATCCTTAACACCTGAAACCCTAAACCCTAAACCCTAAACCCTAAACCCTAACATGGCTCGAGGGAGTCGGCCGGGAAGTACTTCAAGAATTACCTACGATGTGGGAGAGTCTGCGAACTTCAAACCTGGTTACCTACTTCTCACCCGAAAGCCTAAACACCCCATGTACACCCTATACGCCCTACACAGTCTATAAAGCCTGTAAACCCTATAAACCCTCTAAATCCTAAATCCTACAAAGCCTCTACACCCTATAAACCCTCTAAATCGTCGAAACCATAGACCCTAAAATCCTACAACCCGGGCAACCTCGGAGTCAAAAAGGGGACCCCGTTGTTTGTTTACAAGGGCTTCGGACTTGGGGTTTAGGGTTGGGGTTTAGGGTTTAAGGTTTAGGGTTTAGGGTTTAGGGCTTAGGGTTTGGGGTTTAGGGTTGAAGCCTAACCTGACCCCTGGCCCTCCAACAAGGGAATCCAGGCCCTCACCTGGTCCGAGAAACTTGACAGGTCTGGGGTTGCATCGAGAAGGGTTTAGGGTTTAGGTTTTAGGGCTAGGGTTTAGGGTTTAGGATTTAGGGTTTAGATGTAGGAGTCTAAGAAAAAGAAAACAGATTTGGGATTGTTTCTCATGTTTTGCCCAAATGTGATGGGTGGACTGCCAGATCCCTGATGTAGGGTAGGGTTCAAGGCTTCCACTTCTTCCCTCAAGGCTTAGCCTAAATTCGGAACCAACTGAAAGTCTGTTGGCATTTCAGCTCCTCTAGCACTGTTGCATTGGCCCGCTGCAGCCAAATGCCTAGGTCCCGTAACTAACCGTAAACCCCAAGCCCGAAAACCCTAAAACCTTACAACCCTAAAGCCGCGAAACCCGAAAAACCCGAAAACCCGAAAACCCTAAAACCCTAAAACCCTAAACCCTAAAACCCCCAAAAACCCTCTGCAACCTCGCGCTTCGCAGCTTTTTCCGATGTCCTGCAGCCACGCCTCCGGATGATCCCTCTAAACCCTCCTGAAGCCCTAAAATGCCCGAAACTCTCATCCCCACACCCCAGGGGGCAACACCCCAAGTCCAAGACCTGCGAGGGGTTGGGGGGGGGGGGGGGGGGGGCAAGTCGCGAAGCGGGGCGAGGCCTTTCGCTGCCTGCTCTCACTGCCACACCAGCTGGGTCATGCTGCCAAGGACGTCCGGGACACGCGGCTCCTGGACCAAGGGATTTGTAGGAGCTAGCCTGTGGGGCCTTTGTAACGGCTTGAGGTTTGGGTATTGGATTCGTAAGCCGACGCCAATCGAAAATACTAGCATCTGTCCCAGACTGCAACAATTGTATTGTATCATGATTTTAATCCATCATACATGGTTGTATTTAATTTTTTTATCCTATTATACTATTCAATTATCAAGCAGGCCTGAATAAGCTCCACTGCATCTGCAGAGCCGCCTGTCGCGCTTGGCTGGGTCCACGGCTCCGCGGGCCTTCGAAAGTACCGGGATCTTGCTAATTCAGGAAATGAAGTACCGTAATCGGTTCGATGGCAAATGATTCAGTATCCATCTTTCGTTAAGTTACTTAACAAGAATCCAAAAGCAGAATCTGGACATCTTCCGCTCATTCCTCCAACCTTGATAGAAACCGATCGCTGTATCCGCAACGTACGAAACTGAGACCCCAAACCTGCAACGATGCTTCAAACCGACTGAGGTCAACCCAGAGCAATGGCCCACGAGGCCCTAAGACGTTCCGGCCCTGAAATTCACATGTCCTAGAGTCCAAGCAACAAAGAGGTTGAGGGTTGATAAGGAATAACTAGGGAAAGAAGTGCGCCCTTTTGTGACGCAAGAGCAAGGGAAGCTCGCCGAGCCCTAGAAGAACAGGAACCCTAAACCCTAAACCCTAAACCCTCAACCCTAAACCCTAAACCCTCAACCCTAAACCCTAAACCCTAAACCCTAAAGCCTAAACCCTAAACCCTAAACCCTAACCCTAAACCCTAAACCCTGAACCCTGAACCCTGAACCCTAAACCTTATGGGCCCACTGGGAGGGGTGGGGGCAGCAAGCACCCTTGAACCCTAAACCCTCTTCTCAAAGACCTAGGCTGACCCCCCTAAGCCCTGGGTTTGGGGTTTAGGGTTTAGGGTTTAGGGTTTAGGGTGTGGGGTTTAGGGTTTAGGGCTAGGGTTTAGGGTTTTAGGGTTTAGGGCTTATAGGGCTTCGGGTGCCTGTCTCAGGGGCGTCCCTGGCGCTGCGAGCGCCTCACTTTGCCAGCCCGTGCTTCGCTCGGTGCGCCTCTTGGAAGGCCACCTCAAGTTGAGGTCACATTGGGTTTAGGGTTTAGGGTTTAGGGTTTAGGGTTTAGGGCTAGGGTTTAGGGTTTGTAGGGTTTAGGGCTCCGGGTTGAGGTTTAGGGTTTAGGGTTTAAGGCTAGAGTGTTTTGGCTGCTCAGGGTTCAGGGTTGAGGGTTTAAGGGTTTAGGGTTTAGCGTTTAGGGTTCAAGAAGTCTGGTGTGGAGGTCTGAAGAAGCATCCACCATCTAGCGTGCCAGCTACAGGCCTCAGCGTTATGAAACCCTGAGACCCCCAAACCATGCGGGAAACCGGTAAGCGCCTCTACACGCCAACCCTATCAACCCTATGAACCATCTGAAGCCTCCACCCCACTATACCCTCCTCTAAACCCTAAACCCTCAACCCTAAACCCAAAACAGCTGGCACCCTCTAGACCATACAACCCAACATGAAGCAGTACTTCCTATATAGGGGCTCAGGGTTTAGGGTTACTCTGGGGCCCCAAGTACATAACAATCAGGTACATGGACCTTGCGGGCTCTATGCCTTAGCCTCCGAAAAATGGGGCTGCGAGACCTGTGCATGGGGAAAGGGAAGTGCGCATCCTCTTGCTGGCTTTGCGACTTCGAGTTTTAAGGCCTTCGGGCTTCGAGTTTTAAGGCCTTCGGGCTTATGGCTTCCCTGAAAACCCCAAACCCGAACACTCCGACCAATTCTCCGGCAAACCCCCGGCAAGGGGCGGTTTGCATCTCCTGAAGGCGGGAAATCGCCCGGTGGACGGCAAAGCCACTCTCCTCCGACTGGCGAAGGCCTACAACTCGACTTAAACGAAGCCGCTTCGATCGAAGACGCTCGAAGCTTTGCAGGACGTGCTGCTACTGCTTGCCTAGGCAACCTAGGCTTAAAAAGGGTGCCCTTTTTTGCTTAAAGAGGTGTATAAGGGCACCTAGACCCCCAAAAAGGGAATAAGGGTACTACTGGGCATCCTAGTTGCACTTTTAGCACTTTGCTGCAGGATGTCTACAACTGCTTTCTGACAGCTTCGTCCAATCGCTGGCAGCTTCACAGACTCAGAGGACATATACCGGTGTACATCATACTCAACGTCAGCATATGACTTGCGCTTAAGCATTCACCCACTTTGGTCAAGCTCCATCTGCATGTTCTCCTTGTTGACAGGTATCTGCTCTCAATCAGCGCAGCATAGTGAAGCACAACCTCATGATGCATCTATGAGACTCCCCATGGCCTCAGCGACTAGTGCCGACACTTAACACTAACACTTACCACTTAACACCCTCTAAACTCTAAACCCTAAACCCGGCCCCAAACCCTAGTCCGCGGCTCCTTCAGGGAGGCGACGGCGGCCACAAACACGCCTGCGAAAACGAAGAGGGTTTTGGGCTGGGGGGCCGTTGGGGACTGGATCGGCGGCACCAGCTGACACCCTGAGCCCCAACACCCCAAGAACTCCAAAATGAAACCCAAAAGCCTGAACTCTAAAACCTATCAAACCCTCTAACCCTAAACTACCAAACCAGAAAACTCTAAAGCCTCTCTCTAAACTCAAAAGAAAAAGGAAATGATGGCCAACTCAAGTTTGTAGATAAGTAGGTTTACAGGATTATAGGGGCTGCACCCCTCGAAGCCCTAACCGCCTACAGCCTCAACCCTCAAGCCTCATAAGTCCTAAACCCTTAAACCCAAGCCCAGCTACACCCTACACAAGAAATCCGAAACCCTACGCAAGAGACCCTAAACCCTAAACCCTAAACCCTAAACCCTACACCCTAAACCCTAAACCCTAAACCCTAAACCCTAAAACCCTAAACCCTAAACCCTGAACCCTAAACCCTGAACCCTAAACCCTGAACCCTAAACCCTAACCCTAAACCCTAAAACCTAAACACGCCTTTGATGGCTTGCTGCTCGGAGGTGGGGTCCGTGGACTCCCAGGTGAACTGGGAGATCCGGCGTCGGTCGTCCCATCCTCCAGGCTTGGTCTGGGGTTTAGGGTTTAGGGTTTAGGGTTTAGGGTTTAGGGTTTAGGGTTTAGGGTTTGGGGTTTGGGGTTTGGAGTTTAGGGTTTAGGGTGTAGGGTTTCGGGTTTTGGGTTTTAGGGGGTTAGGGTTGTAGGGTTTAGGGGGTTTAGAGGGTTTTGAAGACATACCTGGAGGGTGGGTTTGTGGAAAGGCTGGAGATTTCGGTTTCAGGGCTTCAAGACTTTGGGGGTCTGTAGGGTTTAGGCTGCACTGGTTTGAAGGAGTAATCTCCAAACGCTAAGACAACGAGAAACTAGGTTGGCCGCTGAAACAAACTGCAACAACACATCCTAAAGACCAACCTCCTACAAACCCAATAATTAAGGGAAAACTTTAAATGCCGCGAAGGCCTACCCATGAACACAGCTTAGTCGAGCAGATGGTGGTGGCTAGGGCAGCAG